TCCCTCCCTGGGCCCAGCAGAGGGTCTGTCCGCTCTTGCTCATCTTGTCACAGAAGATCTTGATCTGGCAGACAGCGCGGTGCACCAGGCGCTCGGTGGCGGAGCCACAGTCATAGGTGTCAATCTGTAGGTTCAGGGGGACGCCCTTTACCCCCTTCTGCGACGAGAAGTCTGTGCTGAGGCAGTTGACGCCGATGAACACCTGGGGACAGACGGGGGAGCTGACTAAACAGCCTGCCCAGGTCCCCAGCTCTGCTGTCCCACCAATCCCCTTTATTGAGCCCACTGGGGGCCTGCTGAGCCCTGATTTCACACGCTCCGGAAGCAAATATCACCTCTCTTTTACAAAAAGGGAAGCTGATGCTCAGAGAGTGGGACAACTGTCCCAGGGTGACACAGGGAGGGTGTGGGGAGCCGGGGTTTGAGTCCAAGTCTTTACTAGTGGACTATGCACTAGACTGACACGGGCGGCCCAAAGGATCAAGGCCCTGAGAGGGAGATTAATGATCCCTTAGGGCAGTGGTTCTCAACCTGTGGGTCGCGACCCCTTTGGCAGTCGAACGACCCTTTCACAGGGGTCGCCTAAGACCATCCTGCATATCAGATATTTACATTACGATTCATAACAGTAGCAACATTACAGTTATGAAGTAGCAACGAAAATAATTTTATGGTTGGGTCACAACAATGAGGAACTGTATTTAAAGGGCCAGAAGGTTGAGAACCACTGCCTTAGGGGCTTACAATCAAGAGCCTCATTTTTCTACAACTGGGAGCGAGGAGGTGGAGAAGGGCCAAATTCCCACCTCCCGGCCCCCAGCTTCAGACCGCCATCCTGCTGGGCCTGGGCCACAGAGAGTGAGACACTGCCCCTCTGCACCCCAAACACCAGCTCCAGCCAACACCAGACCAGTCACCCCCCTTCCCAGCTGAGGAAATGGAGGCTCTGAGCAGGGAGTCAGGCAGGGTGGCAGAGTGGAATGAGCCTGGACATGGGGCCACCCACATCTGGGGTGGAAGCTGGGCTCTGCCACTCTCTACCCTGTGGACAGCACATGGAGCTGTTTCTCAGCTGCTGGGCTGGGGGTCACTAGCGGCCTTGGCATGTAGTGGCCGCTGGATATGCGTAGCTGTTGTTAGGGGGTCAGCTGGAGTCTCACTCAAAGCCTAGGCCCGACTGAGGGCAGCTCACTCCTCCATGGGGTGCCAGGGCCAGACCCCACTCCCTTGGAAATGACCCTGACCTGCACAGCAGGGGTGGGGGTGGTGCCTGAGCAGACCCCCTTCCTTCCCAGGCCACGGGGGGCCCTGGGCACATGCCAGACATACCTCCCCCTCAGCCAGCTCAGCCCTAATGTAGCCCCCACCCAGCTCACACCTGAGAAAGACCCACGCCTGGGGGCTTAAGAAGCTGTGAGAAAATCCCAACCGAAACCCACCTCTCCCTTCCCACGAAACTCTGTCCCCACCTCTCTGCACTGGAGGCCCCACTCCCCCTCCTGCCCCTGGCACCTGTTTGAATAATAATAATCCCTGCCTTTGGGCCTCCCTTTGTGTTTTCAGAGCCCCTCACTCCATTTTCTCAGGCCCCCTGGACAGGCGGGGGGACAGGGATTAGCGCCCAGCCTGTCCCAGGCCAGCAATGTCCTTGCCATGAACTGAACCCAACCCTGCTCTTGTGGGCTGAGCCTGGGCCAGGGAGGGGAAGGGACAGAGGCAAGGTCACCCAGCCCCTGGCCCTCAGACTGCTGGCCTTTCCACCATGCCAGCTCTGCCCACAGAAAACCAGGCCACGGAGGCCCAGCAGCACTCCAGGCTGGCCGTAAGCATTAAATAGCTTAATTGCTGGGACAAAAAAAAAAAAAATCACCAGAGGCTCCAATTCTCAGGCCTCCCTGGTGGGTTTGGCTCTGTGCCCGTCTCTCAGACATGCATGATCTCGTGGAATCTTCGCCACAGCCCCAGAAGGCAGATTACTGTTTCCTTCCTATGGCTCAGGAAAGGAGGCAACTGGGATTTCAGCCCTCATCCACCGGACTCCAGAGCATTTCTCCCGCAACACTACACTGGCCTGCCAGTCAGGAAACCTGGCGTGAGCAGCAGCTTGTGACCTTGCACAAGACTCAGCTTTCCTATCTGGTAAATGGGTGGACTGGATTAATAACAACAGCCACCACTTATGTGCCAGGCTGCGCTCTACCTTTCACTTATCTCACATGGTCCTCACATCAGCCGAACGGCTGGTGCTACGATTACATCCCAATTTTAAAGCCACAACACTGGTCTGAGCTCACAGGGCTGGGATGCGGGCCCAGCCTTTCTGGCTTCAGAGCCTGTGCTTCTCCACTGCTCTCTATCCTGCCTCCTCCCCTGATGCCCTCATAGGAGCAGCTGCCACAGTCCTGGGGCAGGCAAGCCCTGTCCCCAGGATGGGGACTTCGGGTGGCCCGGCCCTGACCCGGCCATGCTCCAGCACTGACCTTGGCCTCCTCGTTGACATTCCACACGAAGGACAGTGCATTATAGGCCACCTCCTCAATGTGCTGCACGGTGTTGAAGTTCTCTTTGCAGTCAGCTGAAACCACAGGAAACCAGAAGAAGAGTCAGGAGGGAAGGGATCTGGGGACACCACGGGCAGGAGGCACTGAGGGGCTGGGCCCCATTCTTGGCAAGGACTTGCATCCTCTCCCCCAAGAACCATGTTTCAGTGCAGAGAGGAAACTGGTCATTGTGCCTTGGGTTACAGATGGGGAAACTGAGGTCCAGCCTGGGTAGCAGATTTGCCCAAACCCTGGAGGGAATCCCTAACTTTGCCAACGAGGCCAAGGCCTTCATTGTTTGGGGGTAAAGATTATACTTTCGTTGAGATTATGATTCAGGAGATCTCCCAGATAAAGCAGTAATAACACTAGTAGTAATAGTGGTAGTAATAGCAGTGGTATCAATACTACTAATACTAAACTATTAAACTAATAATGAACAAATGGCAGTATCATTTAGGAACATGTACAATATGGCAAGGCCTTAGTTAATCCTCACAAACAAGGGCACTATGAATATTCAGCTTTCACATGAGGAAAATGAAGCTCAGAGAAGTTTAGTCACTTGCCCAGGGTCACACAGTAATAAAAGGCAGAGCAAGGAGGAGAGCTCGGCTTTGTCTGGCTCCTGAACCCAGGCTCCTAACCACTCTGCTCTCTGGCCTCTCAGGAAGTCACTGAGTCGCCCCTGTTGTTTCATGTTCCCCAGGATGCTGTGTTCCAGGCAGAAACAGCACTGTGGGCCGGCAGGGCAGCCGGCCTTGTTCCATTTGACAGGTGAAGAAATGAAGCCCGGAAGGAGAAGTAACACAGGCCACACACCAGGAAGAGTGATGGAGCCAGAACCTGGAGACCCGAGCATGGCCTGTGTCTCCCACCATCTTGGGGCCTGGGACAGGGTCTGCCTCCAGCCCCCTACCTCTGGCAAAGCCTGCATCCCAGCTCCCAAAGCAGAACTGGCCAGCTGGGCCTGGAGCCTTCCAAACCACCAGCAGCCTACACTGTTATCTCAGTCCTCTAAGGCCCCTGATGGAGACAAGCCGCCCGCATCCCAGGGGCCCATTTATCTGAAACAGCTGGAATCCCGAAGGCCCTGTTTATCCCAAAGCAACACAGAAAAGAGGCCACTGCTTCCAGACAACAGATGCAAATCCCTGCAAACTCCACAGATTTTGACTGGGGAGGGGCTGGGGGGTAGGCAGGCAGCTGGGGTTGCAACTAAGTCCTTCAGAGGTCAGAGGGGGCTGGGGAAAAGGACAGAGCAAGAAAGGTCTGATTAGGTGTGTGTATGTGTGTGTGTGAGAGAGAGAGTAAGAGACAGACTGGGAGGGGGCTGGGGACGGCTCTCACCCACGTCGATGACCCGCTGCTTGGCTGTGGGTTGTCGGGAATGCCAGTGCTTCCAGAACCGCAGCTGCTCTACCGGGACCTTCTCGTTGTCAAAGACAACCATCACCACACTCTGCAAGCACAGTGGTCACTGTGATCCCAGCCTTGGAAAAGGCCCCGCCGTGTGGGTCTTCCCTGAGCCTGGCTCCATGGCCCTGTCCTTTGGCCTTAGTTTCCCCCACTCCATGGCAATGGGCAGTTACCCAGCAGCACCCTTTCCCTGGGCCCCTGGCAGGCAGGGCTAACCCGACCATCCCACCCCTTCCCACAATGCCTCAGGGCCAACGCACCTTGACTTTGTTGGAGGACAAGGCAATGCCTTTGCCGCCTGCGGGGGTCCGCAGGGTGATGGGGTAGAACTGGCCCTTGTTGAGGTAGGCCATGGGCGACTCGCCTGACTTGATGTGGATGGCTTTGGGGGAGCCCAGGGTGTACTCAAAGTCACTGTGAGGAGGAGGGAGAGGACAGTGAGACTGGGCTCCCAGGCAGAAGTGCTCCCCGGGCAGTGGGAGGAGGCCTGAGCTTTGCTGCGGACTTGCTGCGTGACTTGGTGAATCACTACTTCCCCAGGCCTCAGTCTCCACAATTTTTGGGATCTTATGTAATGGCTTTGTTGAGCCCCAGCCCTGCTGAATACTAAATAGTGGAAACCAGAGAGACCTCTGAGGAGTGATAAAGCCACAGGGGACACGAGGAGCAACAGAGCCCTGGTTTTCTGACAGGGCGCTGAGACCTGAGCCCGGGAAAGGGATGCAGAAACCATTCTCATTATGTCTTTTCTTTCCTATAGCTTCACTCCCCAATTTTCATCCACTGCTCACAGGGCAGTGTGAGGTTCTGTCTGCAGCGCCCTACCCATTGAGCAGGTGACCAAGGGTTCACAGGGACTGAATTACCTCTTGGGGCTAGGGTAGTCCTCTGGACATGGGGGTTCCGGGGACGTTTTCAGGATATCTGGGAAGAGCAGCGACTGCAGAGAAACACAAAGGGAATAAATGAGCATGTTTGGGCTGCGGGGCCTCAGCCTAGGCCGCTGCATGTAGCTGTGCAGGTGGGCAGGGCACAGCCTGGACAACAGGTCCCGGCAAACCCATGTCCGGAGCTCTGACCTCCTCACTGTCTTCTCTCCTTCTGCCCTGCATGCCTATTTCCGGAGAGAGTGTGAGGGGTACGGGGATGGCCCTCACCTCCTGCGGGTCATCCTTGAAGGTACTGTCTGGCTGCCAGCGCTGCGTGGGTGGCACCCCATGAATGCTGTCAAACAAGGAGTTGAGGGAGCCATTATCATACACATCACTGGTGGGCAGCAGGTAGCTGTCCACAGAACCAGCTTCCAGCTTGCTGGGGCCTGCGGGGAGGGCAGCTGCCTTGCCCGGGGAGGGCATGGCCACCTCCAAGCTCATCAGGTTATTCTTCTTGAGCACATCTGGGTATTCTGGGGTTCCAGACACGTTCTCTGTCAGGAACTTCATGAGGTGCGTGGGGCTTTCAAGGGGGGTGAGGTCCATCTCATAGTCCATGCCATGGTAGTACCTGGGGAGAGAGAGGAGGGCTGAGTGTGCCTCTTCTCTCCGAGGCGGGGGATTGGAGAGTGACCCTCACACTGGCACACCGGCCTTCTTTAATCCACTTAATGTGTAGGCCCTCGCATGAAACAAGACCTGGAGTAGGCCATGTGTTACAGGGAGGAGCAGGGAGGAGGGGATCAACACTGGGACCAAGTGCAGGCTCAGGGTTGCTTTATCCATTACAGTGTTTGGTAATTTAAGAGCTGAACGTTCATTTATTTCTTAGCCAGAGTTAAACGTCCCCACTCTAAAGCCACTGCTCGTGTCATCTCATGGGTGTGTGCGGGAGTGCGCATCTATGAGTGCAGTTCATTTATGTTGAGAAAAGGGTCTCCCACAAACTTGAAGGGAGGCAGAGGAGTGGGATTACAGGAATCTTTTACTTTGTACTTTTTCCATTTCTATAGAGGTTAAATGTTTTACAGCAAGTAGGTATTACTTTTATAATCAGAAAAGCCAGCAACATTTTTTTTAAGTTCATTTTGAGAGAAGTCCCCATGCACCAAAACCCGCTGTTCCCAGCAGGGCAGGGACCCTGTGCCAGCCACCGGCGCCTCAGCAGCTGGGATTTTCTGGAAGGCAGAGAAGAACCCAAGTTTCCCAGCAGAGGACCTGTACGCCGGCAGGAAAGGACGCCTGGAGAGAGAGTGCAGGTGCTTCCAGCGCCAGAGATGGAGGCGGAGGTGGGAAGGGTGGAGAGGCAGAGGTGGTGGCGGGGGTGAGCCTCACCTCTTTCCTTGGTCGTTCCGGCCCCCGTTGGTGGAGGACAGGATCCGCTTCTCCTTGGGACCCTGAGAGGAGAGGAAGGAAGGGTTTATGCCTGGCTCCTGGGCAAGATCCAGCTATTGGGAGCCTCAGCCGCTCCTGCGCACTTGGCCAGGCAGGGGAGCAACCTTGGTCACTGGGGGGACCCTGCCAGGACTTCGAGTTGCCAGGAGCTCTAAGCATCATTTAATCTGAGCCCAAGATAGAGAGTGGGCGAAATACCCCAAGATTAGCCATTAGAAATCTCGGAATGTTGGAGTCAGGTAGGCTTGGCTTAAGTCCCGGCTTTACCACCTTAAAGCGCTTTGTGCTTTGGATAAATGACGGCACCTTTCTGAGACTCAGTTTCTTCATACGTCAGAGGGGGAATGGTATCACCTACATGGACCCCGAATCCAGATTTCTCGAGTTCGATTCCTAGATCTGCCACATGCTGGCTGTATGACCTTGGGAAAGTCCCTTAACCTCTGTAACTCACCGTCCTTTGACAAACAGGGATAATCACAGTACTACCAGCCTCAGAGGTTGGTGTGAGTGCTTAGAACAGCACCTCGCACATGGAGAGCGCGACATAAATGTTACCTTTCATGATGATAATTATAGTATTGTTGTATCTCAGAGCATCCAGGTCACTTCTCCCTAAGGCTAATAAAGCAGCCAGGTCTCCAACCCAGGCTAGTTACTCCGACACCTGGACTCTTAATCACACCCCATGGAGGGTATGAGGGAAGGCACCTGGCACAGTGCCTGGCAACCAGTAAGAAACGGTAAGTGGACCACATGGCTCAAAGCCACGTTGCCAGTGTGTGGCAGAACTAGATCTCAAATTCCCAACGTGGTGCTCTTCCCACACTATGAGACTATCCATAGTGTTGCTCCGAATCCAGCGTGCTCTGGGACGGGGGAAGGGCACGTCTCACAGGACACTATATTTCAATATACCACTCCACGTGTCCCTTCAGAGCCTGTCCCCACCATTCTGGCCCTGGAAATGGCCTATTAACCAGGGGAGGTGGGGCTGGATTTTATTTTATGGTTTAACCTTAAGCTGTAAATACCAGGCTGGTGTTTAAACCCAGACCTAGAATTTTGGCTCCTATTATGTCCCGAAGCTGAGGCGGCCAATTCAAATTTCTCTTCCTTCAGCCTGGGCTAAATGCTATCAGGATGCTATTGGTCTGCTGGGGAGAAGGTAAGGTAGGGTAACCATTCCCCTCCAGGATGAGAACCAAAGTCAGAGAGATCGTTTGGAGCCTTCTCATATCTGGGCCCATTTCTCCCCTTGACATCTAACTTTACAATGGGCCTTCCTTCTTGCGGCACAGTAGATAGATACTGCACGGTAGGTAGATACAGTGACTTTGAGGACTTATTTATAAGATGGCTGTAAGTCTTCTAATTCAGAGCCAGTTATCTCAACAATTAGCTTTTTGTGCCTCCCATCTTCAAAGTTGGGAAAGTTTCATAGAGCAATCGCCCAGCCCAGGAATAGCAAGAAAGTTCGCTGTCATGTGACAATTCAGACAAAAAGATTCTGTGGCCTCATGCACCCTCGGTGAGAATGCAGACTGTAATCCTCCAGCAATGTCTGGAACAGGCGGTGGACTGGGGGTGGGGGTGATGTCATATGTTTCATATATCTGTGATGGCTAACTGGTTCGAGCCCACTTATCAGAATTGGGAGGGCCTAGTTCCTGTTCTCAGTAACTGAGAGTTTCCAAGAGTCCAGGCCAAGGCCCTGGAAACTATTAGAGAATAATAAAAGACAGTCTGTCAGAAGGCATTACAATGCATACAATGGCAAGGGTATGAAGGACAGTAAGACAGGAGAGAGGGAGGTGATGTAGCAGGATGTCTTCCAAGAGAAGGTGGGTCTTGGGAAGGGCCCTGAAGCCAGGGGATGGGTTCAAGAGCACAAGGCATGTTCTGGGTGGTAGGGTTCAAATAGGCAGGTGAGACTGACAGGGCAACTGGGATGACCTAAGGGTCAGGGGCAGAAAGAAGAGGCAGGTTGGGGGTGTTGCTGTGATGGAGTATGGCTGAGGCCTTGAACCATTCAATCAATATGTATTGAATACTGTGTGGCAGGCAGTATGGAGCGCTGGGAATTCAGTAATGATCACAACATAGTTCCTGACCTCCAAGAGCTCAGTCTGATGGTGGAGATGAAGAAATAGATGCATAAATAGCAAGTTTCTGAAGCCAGAGTCAAGGATGATGACAGTAGTTGCTAAAGGTGCCCAGAGAAGGCTCAGAATGGGAGACCCAAGAAAGACTCCCCCCATTTCAATGAATGAATGAGGTGACTTTGAAGCTGAGACCCAAAGCGGAGAGGAGGGTTTAGCCAGGGGTAAGGGGAGGGTGCCAGAGAGAGGGAATAGCATGTACAGAGGCTGACAGGTGAGAAAGAACATGGTGACGGGCTGTGAGTGGCCATAGGCTGTTGAGCCATGAGGCCTGAGAGTGGAGCTGCACATTCAGTCAGAGCGAGGCATGCCCAGGTGGCTGACATACCATGTAGTAATCATAGAGGAAGCTCAGGGCCGCAACGCTGTCATCATCCCCATTGACTCTCATCATGGCCTTTGTGGCAGCCGTCAAGGGGTTTTCCAGGTAGGTCTTCCAGGCCTCGTCTTCATTAGTGTAGGGGAACTTCTGGAAGTTGACTGGGTCGTTCTTTAGCAGCCGCACAGACCTGAAACTGGAAGGCAAATCAGGAGGGTCAAATGAAGGCTGTCCCAGAGGACGGTCCATGAAGGGTCAGCCTCAGGCATTCAAAGAACAGTCATCAGCCTTGAAAATTTGAAACTCCTTCTTCTACCACCTTAGGCAGTTTGCCGGCAGGAGAATGAACTCCAGAACTAGATGCTTTGGGTCAATACCAACTATTTCCATACAGAAGCTGTAGACTTGGGGCCTCAGTTCCCTCATCTACAACATGAAGACCATAACTCCAACCTTGCAAGCCTTCAGAGAAGGTTCGATAAGTGCTCCCATAGTAGATATTTATTGAAGAAGGATCAGTGTAACAAAGATGGGAACTAACAATGTCAAGCTGCAAAGAAAAACATTTCCAGATAACTCAGCAAGAGTTCTTCTAAAGAAATTCTCTTCAAAACCATAGGTACGGAAGGCAGAAGACCATTCCTCGTCATGGAGAGAGACAGAATCAGAGCGAGGAAGTCCATAGGAGGAGTCTGGTCTTGGGAAATGGCATTTCAGACCAACATGTATTGTAGGTTGTCCAAGCAGATGCTCAGATGCCAGGCACTGGAGTGGAATACTGCTTAGCACACCGAGGCAAGCAGAGCCTGGGCACTGTGCTAAGAACGTGGACAAATTCAAGGCATGTGGTCCAAGAGTCCAGCCACCTGGGCTGGAAGGAAAGAGCTCAGAAAAGGCTCTTTAAAGCAGGCAGACATTTTAGTTGGGGACAGACACCCAGCACTGGGGATTATATTGCTCAGAAATGTAGGGGGAGGGAAAGAGGGATAGATAGAATAATAATGATAAAAATAATCCGTAATCTTTTCTGAGCATTGGCCATGTTTTAGGCACTGTGTTACACACTTTCCATGGATCCTCTCATTTAGATCCCACAACAACCCTGTAAAGCAGCTACTATGATGATTCTTATTTTATAGGTGAGGAAACTGAAGCTCAGAAGTTAAGGAGTTCCCCCGAGCTCCTGGTCCAGAGGGGAGTCAGCTTGAGCGGGATGATGCTGTAATACAGAATAGTGGTCTCGAACTTTAGCTGCATCATGATGACCTAGAAGGCTTGTTAAAACATAGATTTCTACACCCTAGCCGGTTTGGCTCAGTGGATAGAGCGAAGGCCTGCGGACTGAAAGGTCCAAGGTTCGATTCCGGTCAAGGGCATGTACCTTGGTTGCGGGCACATCCCCAGTAGGAGGTGTGCAGGAGGCAGCTGATCGATGTTTCTAACTCTCTATCCCTCTCCCTTCCTCTCTGTAAAAAATCAATAAAATATATTTTTAAAAAAACCCAAACAAAAACAAACAAAAAACCCCCCACAGATTTCTACACCCTAGCCAGTTTGGCTCAGTGGATAGTGTCAGCAGAAGGGTCCCGGGTTTAATTCCAGTCAAGGACACGTACACGTACCTCAGTTGCAGGCTCAATTCCTGGCCCTGGTCAAGGCATGTGCGGGAGGCAACCAATCAATGTGTCTCTCATCAGTGTTTCTCTCTGTATTTCCCCATCCCTTCCACTCCCTCTAAAAAAACAGTCAATGGAAAAATATCCTTGGGTGAAGATTAACAACAAAAAAACCACCCACAGATTTCTGGGTCCCACACTTAAGAGTTTCTGATTCAGTAGGTCTGGGGTGGCGGAGAATTTGCTTTTCTAACAAGGTCCCTGAAAACTGATGCTGGTAGTGTGGGAGCCATACTTTGAGAACCACTGATATGGAACATGCTCTTATTTGTGAGCGAAGGCATAGAAGTGGGCAAGTTCTCTTTGTGTTTGTTTTAGAGCCAAGAGTATGTACAGGACAGTGGTGGGAAGATGGGGACAGCCAGGCCAGGAAAAAGAGCCCCAGAGATGAAATAGTCCCCAGTGCCCCTCTTTCTGGGTGAGCCTGACAGACTCACTCATGGGAACAATGTCAGCCGCTATTTACTGAATACATATGAACGCTCTCCATTCATTAACGCTGTTCCTTACAAGAACATTACAAGGTAAGGACCATTTGCTTCATTTTATAGATGAAGAAACCAGAGACTTGGAAAGGATAAGGAAATGCCCAAGATCACTCCGCTAGTCCATGGCACGACCTGGATTTAATCCCAGGCTTGTCTAGTACCGAAGCCACATACTTTCCATAAGCCACACTGCTTTACCGTAATGCAAGAGGGCAATCTTACCACACCAGGAAACCACTTTAGTGGTGGAATTTCAGGCGCTGTGGAGGAGGGTAGGTGGGCAAATCCCTTCCTGCTGCCCTGCAGCTCAGGCCTACATTCTTAGACACAGAGTGGGAGCAGCAGTCAGGCCACACCCAGGCAGGCCGTGGGCAGCAGCTCTCTCACAGGTTTCATCCAGGGCACAGTGTCTCCCATCCCACTGGGCCCCAGGGCGTGGGGCCTTGGGCTTTGAGAGGCAGGGAGGGAGAGGGAGCTGTCACACAAAAAAGAGAAATGACAGAAACCTTCCTGCTCCAGGGGTGCGGAGAGGGAGGCACACCCCGAGTTTCTGCTGCTATAAATCAAGGGCCTCAAGAGGGGGAGTTGAGAAGAGGCCCCTCCTAGCTGCCTCCTGGGCCTGGGGTTAGAGGAACTTATAGAGCAAGCCCAGGATGGCTGCCACCTCCTCTCCCAGCCCCAGGCTAAAGGGAACTCCCAAATCAAAGGGGACATGGGAGAAACGGGGAAAGGCCTTGTAGAGCCCACCCTCTTGGTCAGTTGGGACCCCCAGTGCTGTTCCTTGTGTGTAAAATGAGTCTAATAAAAGCACCTACCATGTAGAATTATAAGGACTGAGTGCATTGCCATGTGAAAAATGCTCAGAGCTTTTGCTGGCAGATAACAGGTGCCTAATACATTTGAGCCATTATCGTGCTCTGGGCTCAGCTTGGAGCCAGACATCAAGGTGTTGCAAAGTGGCACAAGACGGCCACCCTGTAAGTCAGTGGCAGAGCTGGGCCTAGAACCCCAATTTGTTGACTCTAGTGGAACGATCATTATCAGCTTTGATGAGCTATCAGTTATCTTATCCTATTTAAAAATTAAATTTTAGAAGTCATATCAGAAATAAAAAAACAGACAATGTTTGTTGGTCACCTGGAAGGTTTTTCTGGCCTACAAGGGTCACCATTCCACTTGGCAGATTCCTTGACACACAGCAGCTACCATGCCTTAAGCATTTACCATATACAGACAGTGTGCCAACTGTTTTTCTGTGCATCTCTTCTACTCTGCACAACAGTCCTGAGAGATAGCTATTAGGGAAATAGAGGCCCAAACAGGTGATATTACCTGCTCAAGGTCACTCAGCTAGTAAGTGATGGAAGCTAACTTGAACCCGAATCTGTTGGACTTCAAGATGCAGCTCTTAACCCCAAACTAGTCTCCTTTCTAGATGCCTTTCCCATCAAGGAAATTCCCCTCCTCTGGAATATACCGAAACAATCCTCTACTGCAAGACAAAAAGGGATTTCCCACCCAAAGAAAGCTGGAGGGACTAAGTGAGAAAGCGAGATGACTGGAAGAGTTTCTGGCCAGGAGCCAGGAGCCGTAGTGTCTGGGTCCCAATGCCTACTCATGCTACCAATCAACTTTATGTCCCAAGACTAATCACTGGCTTCTAGAAAGTTCTGGCTATGGATAAGGTTAACATTACCTTAGGTGCCAAATGCTGAAATCCAATATCCTATTCTCTTAAAGGTTGGAATTAAGGGTTGAGGGCCCAGTGGGTAAGAGCCATGAAAAGGGTTCCAAGAAGGAGTGAGCCCTACTCATGGGTGACAGAGCCAAACAAAGAGAGGAAACCCGGTGACTCCCATCCTATGTGGTCACCTTCCTCGAACCTCCACAAACTCTCTGTTGGTGTCCCTGTCCAAGGCAGAACTCCTCGACTATCAGAAGGTAAACGGGGTGGGGTGGAGGGGATAGGGAGAGGACTTGGCCCTGGGCAACCTTCTTGTCAGATCTCCACCAGGACACAGCACAGAAGAACCCATAGCACCATGGAGGGAAGTGGCACCAGAGCCATAGCCTGACAGACCCATCTGTTAAGTGGGTCTATTGAATGCCTTCTGTGTGCCAGTCAGGGACTCTTCTAAGTACTGGGAATCAGCCAAGAGCAAGACAGATAAGGCTCTGCTCCCACGAAACTTACAGTCTAATTGGGAAGACAGTCCATAACAAGTAGGTAAATAAGTTAATTTTAGTCAGTGATAAGTGCTGTGAAGAAAATTAGAACACAGTCAGTGATGGAGTCACCAGGGCTGGCTGCTTTAGAGAGGGGCTAATCTCATGGGTTGTTAGGAGAATTAAATGCATTAACATAAGAAATGTGCTTAGCCTAGAGCCTGCCAGAGAATAATCGCTCAGTAAATAATAGCTATGTCACCACCATCATCATCATGACCATCATCATTTCCGAACCCCCAAATGAGAGTAAAGGGGAGACTCCGCCTGAGGTTCTTAAATTAACATCCTCCTCAAGCCTCCTGTGAACCAGGTTCTGTGTGAAAAACAAAAGAGACATGTAATAACCCTTGCCTTGACTTTCACATTCATTATCTCGTGGAGCCTCTCAGCATGCATGATGTGTTATTATCTCTATTTTATAGACCAGGAAATAGACAACAGGTGACCTGTTCCAGGGGACTGGCCAATGAGTTACAAAGCCAAGCCTCCTAAGATCTGGCCTGGGAACTGACTCAACCCTAGACACCTTTCCATCAAACCACTAGTTTCCAAGAAGGGATGTAAAGAGAGGGGGAAAATACAAAATTCTGGGAGGCATCTATTTATCTAACCATCCATCATCCACCCCTCACTTTAACAAAAATTTACTAAGCTACTACTATGTTCTAGGTCTTGCCCTAAGCAAGACAATAAGGTCATCCCTGCTTTTGAAGAGGTTGCATTTTAGTGGCAGCAAGACAGACATGACCACAAAAACAAACAAACAGCTAAAATCAGATAGGTGAAGAAAGCTATGAAGGAAA